CAAAAACACTAAAGCTGATTTTTTTGAGAAGATTAAATTGATAAACCTTTAGCCAAATTCATCAAGAAAAAAAGGAAGAAGATTCAAATCAATAATATTAAACATGAAAAGGGAGAAGTTACAGCTGACACTATAGAAATACAAAGGATCATTAAGAGACTACTACAAGCAACTGCATGCAAATAATATGGACAACCCAGAAGAAATTGACAAATTCTTAGAAAGGTATAACCCACTAAGACTGAACCATGAAGAAACAGAAATATCAATGGACTAACCACAAATAATAACATTGAGACAACAATTAAAAATCCTCCAACAAACAAAAGTCCAGGACCAGATGGCATCACAGGTGATTTCTATCAAACTTTTATTAGAGACCAGTTAGCACCTATCCTTCTCAAACACTTCCAAAAAATTGCAGAGGGAGGAATACTCCCAAACTCATTCTATGAGGCCACCATCCCCTGATACCAAAATTAAACAAAGATATCAAAAAGAAAATTACAGACCAGTGACACTGATGAACACAGACACAAAAATCCTCAAAAAATACTAGCAAACAGAATTCAGTAACACATAAAAAGGATCATACACTATGATCAAGTTTATCCCAAGGATGCAAAGATTCTTCAATATACACAAATCAATGTGATACACCACATTACCAAGTTGAAAGATAAAAATCATATGATAATCTCAATAAATGCAGAAGAAGCTTTTGACAGACTTCATCACCTATTTATGAAAAAAAACTCTTCTGAAAATTGGTATGTGGAACCTACCTCAACACAATAAAGGGCATATAAAACAAACCCATAACAAATATTATTCTCTATGGTGAAAAACTGAAAGTACTTCCTCTAAGGTCTAATAAGACAAGGGTGTGCATTCTCACCACTATTATTCAATGTAGTCTGAAATTCCTAGCCATAGCAATCAGAAAAGAAAAAGAAATGAAAGGAATCCAGATTGAAAAAGAAGTAAAACTGTCACTGTCTGCAGACAACGTGATACTATACATAGAAAACACTAAAGATAAAATCTGAAAATTACTAGAGCCATTCAGTGAATTTAGTAAAGTCACAGGATACAAAATCAATACACAGAAATCCCTTGAATTCCTATAAACTAATAACAAAAAAATAAGAAAGAGAAATTAAGGAAACAATCCCACTTACCACTGCAACAAAAAGAATAAAATACCTAGGAATAATAAACCTACCTATGGAGACAAAAGCCTATATGCAGAAAACTGTAAGACACTGATGAAGGAAATCAAAGATAACACAGAGAGATATAACATGTTCTTGGATTGAAAGAATCAATATTGTAAAAATGACTGGACTACACTAAACAATCCGCAGATTTAATGCAATCCTCATCACATTACCAAGGGCATTTTTCACAGAACTAGTACAAAAATTTTTATAATTTGTATGGAAACAAAAAGACGCCAATTAGCCAAAGCAATCTTGAGAAAGAAAAATGGAGCTGGAGGAATCAACCTTCCTGGCTTCAGACTATACACAATTAAATGAAGTAGAGATAGGTAACCTTCCAGACAAAGAATTTTGAATAATGATAGTGAAGATGATCCACGACCTCGGGAAAACAATGGAGAAGATACAAGAAATGTTTACCAAAACCTAGAAAAACTAAAGAACAAACAGAAATGAATAATACACTAGAAGGAATCAGTAACAGAGTAACTGAGGCAGGAGGAGGAGAAAGAGAGAAAGGACCTGAGATAATATTTGATGAGATAGCTGAAAAATTCCCGAACACTGGAAAGGAAATAGTCAACCAAGTCCAGGAGGCACAGAGAATCCCAGGCAGAAAAAACCCAAGGAGGAAAACACTGAGACACATAGCAATCAAGCTGACAAAAATTAAAGACAAAGATAAAATATTAAAAGCAACATGGCAGGGGTGGGGGGGTGGGAGGGGGCAGAAATGACAACATACAAGGGAACTCCCAACAGGCTATCAGTTGATTTCTCAACAAAAACCCTACAAGCCAGAAGGGAATGGCATGATATATTTAAAGTGATGAAAGGGAAGAACCTACAACCAAGCATATTCTATCCAGCAATACTCTCATTCAGATTTGATGGCAAAATCAAAGACAGATGGCCAACAAACCCAGGAAAAGATGCTCAGCATCACTAGTTATTAGAGAAATGCAGATCAAAACTACAATGATTTATCACTGGTCAGAATGGACATCATCATAAAATCTGCAAACAATAAATACTGAAATGGATGTGGATAAAAGGGAACCCTCTTGCACTGTTGGTGGAAATGTAAAAATTGATACAGCCACTATGGAGAACTGTTTGGAGGTTTCTTAAAAAACTGAAAATATAATTACCATATGACTCTATAACCCCACTACTGCACATATACCCTGAGAAAATCATAATTCAAAAAGACATATGTACTCCAATGTTCGCTGCAGGACTATTTATGATAACCAGGAGATGGAAGCAATCTAAATGTTCATTGACATGTGAACTGATAAGTATGTGATATACACACACACACACACACACACAAAATGATTATTACTCAGCTATAAAAAGGAATGAGGGAGGGGGGACTGGGATAGGGAACACATGTAAATCCATGGCTGATTCATGTCAACGTATGGCAAAAACCACTACAATACTTAAAGTAATTAGCCTCCAACTAATAAAAATTGAAAAAAATTTAAAAAAGGAATGAAATTGGGTCATTTGTAGAGATATGGATGGACCGAGAGTATGCCATACAGAGTGAAGTAAGTCAGAAAGGAAAATATTATATATTAATGCATATATACGAAATCTAGGAAAAGTGTACATAGATGAACCTATTTGCAGGACATGAACAGAGACCTAGATGGAGACAATGGATATGCCGACATGGGGGGAAGCAGAGGGTGAGACAAATTGGGAAGGCAGCATTGACATATATACACTACCGTGTGTAAAACAGTGATAGCTGTTGAGAAGTTATAGGGAGCATAGGGAAAGATGACCTAGACAGATAGGATGGGGTGGGTGGGAGGTTCGGGAGGGAGCTGATATATGTAAACATATAGGTGACTCACTTTGTTGTATAGCAGAAACTAACAACATTGTAAAGCAATTATACTCCAATAAAATAAACTGGAAAAAAAAAAGACAACCTAGGAAATCGAAATAAACTTCTACAAATCATATAGCTGATAAGGGATTAATATCCAGAATGTGGGAAGAACTGCTACAAGTCAACAATAAAAAAAATAAAATAACCCATTTTTAAAAGGTCCAAAGGAACTGAAAAGACATTTCTCCAAAAATGATACACCAATACCATTAAACATGTGACAAGATATTTAACATTTTAACCATTTAAGAAATTCAAATAAAAACCACAAGGAGACATTGTGAAAACAAATATTCACAATCAAAACAACAGAAAATAACAAGTGTTGTTAAGGATATGGAGAAATCTGAACTCTTGTGGAAAGTTTGGTGAGACTGTAAAACTGTAAAATGGTGTAACTGGTATGGAAAACATTATGGAGGTTCCTCAAAAATATCACAAACAGAACTACTGTATGATACAGCCATCTCACTTCTTAGTAAATATCCAAAAGAACTGAATGCAGAGTCTCAAAGAGACATCTGCACACTGATATTCAAAACAGCACTATTCACATAGCCAGGAAGTGAAAGCAAGCCTAATCTCCATCAGTGGATAAACGAATAAACAAAATGTGGTATACACACACCATGAATATTATTTAGTCTTCAAAAAGGAAATCCCACAACATGGACAAATTTTGAAGTTATTATGTTAAGCCAGTCACAAAAAGATAAATGTATGATTCAACTTTATCTGAGTTCTATAAGTAGTCAAATTCATAGAATCAGAAAGTAGAACGGTAGTTACCAGAGGCTGGAGAGTGAGGGAAAAGGGGAGTTGTTTACATGGGCACAGAGTTTCAGTTTTATAAGATGAAAAGTGTTGGTGATCTGTTTGTTTCACAATAATGTGAATATACTTAACACTACTGAACTGTATCCTTAAATATGATTAAGATCGTAAATTTTATGTTAGGTGACTGTTTTTAAAAAAAAAAGTTAAAAAAAAAAAAGACACATGTACCTCAGTGTTAGCTGCACCACTACTTACAACATCCAGGATGTGGAAGCAACCTGAATGTCCAGTGATACATGAATGGATAAAGAAGTTACAGTATGTCTCACACACACACACACACACACACACACACACACACAGAGGAATATTATTCAGCCAGAAAAAGGAATGAAATTGGGACATTTGCAGAGAAGTAGATGGACCTAGAGTCTGTTGTACAGAGTGAAGTAAGTTAGAAAGAGAAAAACAAGTATTGTATATTAATGCGTATATGTGGAATCCAGGAAAAAATGCTATATATGAACTATTTGCAGGGCAGGAAAAGAGATGCAGATGAAGAGAATGGACATGTGGACACAGTGGGAGGAAGGGGACAGCGGGATGAACTGAGAGATCAGGACTGACACACACACACACATACACAGACACACATATGTATACTAGTGGGAAGCGGCTGTCTAGCACAGGGAGCTCAACTTGGTACCTGTGATGACCTAGAGGGGAGGATTGGAGAGTGGTGAAGGGAGGCTCAACAGGGAGGGAATATATGTAATATGTATACATGTAGCTGATTCACTTTGTTGTAAAGCAGAACTAACACAACATTGTCAAGCAATTACACTCCAATTAAAAAAAAAAAAAAAGAAATACACAGGGTTCAACAGTTCACCTCAGATCTAAGGAATTTTAAAAAAGAATAAAACTACTTGTTTTATTAAATAAAACAAAACAACTACTTGTCTCACTACTTGTGAGAAATGTAATGATAATTTTGAAAAATTTCCACATCTAAACAAACTTCTGTGGTCCACACTATTTACTCACTTAGTACATAAACACCCTGAAACTTACAATAGCATCACACATACCTGATGCGATGACAGGATCTTTCATAAGCTCCCTAGTTATTGGACATATAAATTCATCAGGAATTTCAGAAGAAAGGGTTTTCACCTTTGTCCTCAGTTCTTCAATTTTCCTCAGAACTTTACTACGCAGCCCTAGAGATTCTGAAAAGAAATTATTCTGTTAGGGCTTGAGAACTATCTATAAGCTTTATGCAAGTCTTCAGCAGAGTAAACTTTTATCTACTATAACCAAAAATCTTCAGAAATATTGTTTTACCACATAGAACCTTTTCTTGACAAATTCCTTAATGAATCTTTGTAGTACAGAATACTGTGTGATTAAAACAACTCAGCAATAGAAAGATTATTCTAAGCAACTTTAGATTCTGAAAGCTCCTCAAGAATTTCAGATTGCCCAAACACTCATATACTAGACAAAATTAGAAAAGGCTATGTTAGAGAACAGTTTCCTAAAAATCACTTATAAAGATGTTCTGTTTAATATAAAAATTCCATCTTACATCTTTAAACATTATGAAACTTGGTTTATTAGTTGCTGATTCTTATACAATGGGAATACCAGAACGCCTGACCTGCCTCTTGAGAAATCTGTGTGCAGGTCAGGAAGGAACAGTTAGAACTGGACATGGAACAACAGACTGGTGCCAAATAGGGAAAAGAGTATGTCAAGGTTGTATACTGTTACCCTGCTTATTTAACTTATATGCAGAGTACATCATGAGAAACACTGGGCTGGATGAAGCACAAGATGGAATCAAGATTGCCAGGAGAAATATCAATAACCTCAGATATACAGATGACACCACCCTTATGGCAGAAAGTAAACAACTAAAGAGCCTCTTGATGAAAGTGAAAGAGGAGACCAAAAAAGTTGGCTTAAAACTCAACATTCAGAAAAGTAAGATCATGGCATCTGGTCCCATCACTTCATGGCAAATAGATGGGGAAACTGGAAACAGTAACAATTTTGGGGGGGGGGGCTCCAAAATCGCTGCAGATGGCGACTGGAGCCATGAAATTAAGATGCTTGCTCCTTGGAAGAAAAGTTATGACCAACCTAGACAGCATATTAAAAAGCAGAGACATTACTTTGCCAACAAAGGCCCATCTAGTCAAGGCTATGGTTTTTCCAGTAGTCACTTATAGATGTGAGAGCTGAGCTATAAAGAAAACTGAGTGCCAAAGAATTAATGCTTTTGAACTGTGGTGTTGGAAAAGACTCTTGAGAATCCCTTGGACAGCAAGGAGATCCAACCAGTCCATCCTAAAGGAAATCAGTCCTGAATATTCATTGGAAGGACTGATGCTGAAGCTGAAACTCCGTAACTTTGGCCACCTGATGCGAAGAACTGACTCATTTGAAATCAAGACTCTGATGCTGGGAAAGATTGAAGGCAGGAGGAGAAGGGGATGACAGAAGATGAGCTGGTTGGATGGCATCACTGACTTGATGGACGTAAGTTTGAGTCAACTCCAGGAGCTGGTGATGGACAGGAAGGCCTGGTGTGCTGCAGTCCATGGGGTCGCAAAGAGTCAGACACAACTAAGCAACTGAACTGAACTGATACAAAGCACAGTATTAAATAAAACTCATCTGTTTGTCCAAAACTGTACACGTATGCTTCATTCATCTGTAGTTATCTCATTTCAAAAATTAATTTTTAGTTTCAGGAAGATAAATATAATTAAGTTTAGGAAGAGTAGTGTTATTTAGCTGTTTGTATTTTTATCAGCTGACAGTTCTATTTTAGGTAGAGGATTTTTCTGGGTGGGGGTGGTGGGTAAATGGGTAGAAAAAAAGAACTACATTTCAGAATGACTCATAGTTTCCATAAAAAGCCGTATCAACTTTCTTTCTGATTGGAAGGTAATTCTCCACATAGTGTTTAAACACACTTTTACAACATCATGTCCTGGCAATCTTTTCAAGGATGTTTGCAAACTTCCTTGGAAGCTAATGTCTCCCTCCTAGTCAAAGGGCAGGTTTGTGTTCTAAGACCTACAAAGATAATGTTTTCTTCTCGGACTACTTGGCTAGCAGTCCCCTTATCATACTGGGGGGGGGGGATTATAAATTCAGGGTTCCTCAGCTATGACACTATCACAAATTGCCTGCACAAGACTTAAGGGCAGAGGGGAACCAATCTGAGCATGAAGCTCATGCTGCTTGCTGTCCCTTGAGTAACAAACTGTTTACATCTATTTGGATTCACTGACCGTTATCTATGAAAGTGTGGGAAAAGTCAACCCAGCAACTGCCTGCATCTTAAGGGACGTCCTTCCTATGGGATTCACCGAAACCAAATTGAAGATTTTTAAAATAATTTTTTTTAAAAAATCACAACACATTTATAATTAGTGATCATCTCATTTAAAGGGGTAATATATTGCATGTAATAAGAATATAAAGGTATTTCATAGTCTAAAAAAACATCCATTTATTTTCCTGTCAAAAGTAATATACATGTGTGCTAATATTTAGAATGCTTATTAGTAGAGAGTGTGAAGGGAAGTGAAAGTTGCTCAGTCATGTCTGACTCTTTGTGACTCCATGGACTATACAGTCCAGAATTCTCCAGAATACTGTAGTGGGTAGCCTTTCTCTCCTCCAGGGGATCTTCCCAACCCAGGGATCAAACCCAGGTCTCGCACATTGCAAGTAAATTCTTTACCAGCTGAGCCACAAGGGAAGCCCAAGAATACTGGAACAGGTAGCCTATCCCCTTTTCCAGCAAATCTTCCCCAACCAGGAATTGACCCAGGGTCTCCTGCATTGCAGGCAGATTCTTTACCAACTATCAGGGAATCCTCATAGAGTCTGTAGAAACCCTATTTCAAAACATACTATAAAACAAAAGGTTAAATTGTGTGTTATCCTGCCCAATTTTAATGTTGTTTAAAAATGCCCTAATTTACCAGCAGTTACCAAATCATATCCACAGAACTTAGCCCGAGGAAAACACCTCCTTTTGTGATTGGGGGTTGGAAGTCAGTGTTATTAAACTTAACTGCTCAGAAAGAAAAGACCCTTCCAGGTGAGGGCTAGCAAACCCTCAGTGGGAGTTAATGGGCGCTATTTCGTTATATTTGCTGTAACTCTGAAAAGGCATCTGGCTCTTAGTAAACGACCAATTAAATAGGCCATCAACTCTGTCCCCCTTATCCACCCCTTCCCAATGCTGGAAATGCTGCATAATTGAATTGATGGTGCCAAGACACAAATAATCATTAAATATACAAAATTCCAAAAACCATCAAGAAAACAAAAGTAACTGAGTTCCAGAGTAGGGGATGGGACATAGTTTAAAGCAGAGATTTGTATACACAAATGGAAGAAATACCTTTCCACTAGTAGCCCTCTTTCCCCCCAACTTTGTCCTGTAAATACCATTGCCAAAGCAGCAATGCCAGCACCAGCTGGAGGCAGGGCAACAGGAAAGCGCTACTGCCTGGAGCTAACCAACTGTCACAGCCCATGAGGCTGGTCACAGAGTGACCTCTGTAGTGCCCTGAGACAGAACAGGATCAACAGCTGGTCTCTTGGAGAAAAAAACATTGAATTCTTCATTATTTAAAAATTAATTTTATTAAACAAATTCTGACTAGAATGATCAAGAGAAAACAAGACATAAAAAGGAACACAAGGATTTTTTAAAGGATTTGGAAAAGATGATGATAGAAGCAATGTAATTTTTACATTTCTCTGAATCCCTTCATGAAAAGCAACATGACTAGATAGCAAAATCAAAGTCCACGGGCATTTACAACAAAACAAGGTAGCAAAGTATCTTCATGAGCCCCACAACATATTAATAAGTGGGAGAAGATAAACCACCAACATCCATAAGATCTGTAATTGATATCAGTGTGGAACCAACAGGACATCTGATAGGCCTGAAAAAAGGAGACCTCAAAATGCCCCACAAGTAATCACTGCAAAGTGGGGAGGTCAATTTAAGAGCAGTTGCTGGTCTGGAAGGGTAGGTCCACTCCAAAAGACTGAGTGCACAGGCCCACACATTTAAAAGGTCAATTTCACATAAGTTGTATATACAGAAAAAGTGATAAATGTTTTATTACTTAATAGTATATGCAGTTAGGCAATGAGAGAAAATCTACATAAGGAAATATTACGAGGAACTGAAACATGAAACTTCCAAATCTAAGTGTGTTAGGACAGCTGGTGCATAAGGTTTTAAAAAGCATTTAACATAATAATTTGATATTATAATTTTTAAATAAAAAATGATAAAAATGTCTGATGTGCTTTCATGGTTTCTTGGAAAGACAAGAGCAAAAGGAAGAGGTACCTCTTGGAAAAATCTCATTCCCAATTAAGAATCTATGATTGATAATTAGTTGAATATAAGGGTAAGAACTGACACAATATACAACAGTTCCTTGTCATCTGTCATTCCATGCTTTTACCATTATATCATCTACAGCAATTCCACACTCCAAGATAGGTAGCAATTTACAATATCCTGGAGGCCTAGGTATAAACAGAGGCCACACTGCAGTGAAAGTCACATGGCTAGTCAATGGACTTACTGCTTGCCTAGTATCACATCTCAGACTTTCTTGCTCTTCATCTTTCATACTTTATGCCTTTTGGTTGCAATATTAAAGGCTTCAGTAGAGTTCACAAATTCATGGACTCACAAACATCTTAAGACATATCTCTTTTAGTATCAAGGATCTCTTATACAAGGACATTCTTGATGCAAATATAGTAATACATATAGGGAGTTATTTTCTACCTAAAACTGTCTCTATTTTCATTAACACAATCCCAGAAAAGAACTATTACTTTAGGATAAAAGCAACAGATTCCAACAGATACTCAAATCTACAGCAAGTTCCTTTACTGTACATGTACAAAAGGTTCACTGAAAAAAGACGTGATAGACTGTTTGACTCCTTAAAAATAATTTTTAAGTGTCAGACATAATAGATAATATCACTTTGTTTCCTAACACTCCAATCAATACACTTTACTGCAAAATTAACTTTCTTTGTATGATGCTGCTGCTGCTAAGTCACTTTAGTTGTGTCCGACTCTGTGTGTGACCCCATGGACGGCAGCCCACGAGGCTCTTCTGTCCCTGGGATTCTCCAGGCAAGAATACTGGAGTGGGTTGCCATTTCCTTCTCCAATGCATGCATGCATGCAAAGTCGCTTCAGTCATGTCCAACTCTGTGAGACCCTATGGATAATAGCCCAACAGGCTCCTCTGTCTATGGGATTCTCTAGGCAAGAATACTGGAGTGAGTTACCATTTCCTTCTCCATCTTTGTATGATGAATGTTGAACAAATTCATATTTATTCACATTCAAGTAGGAACCACTTTAACAGTTGTACCACAAATGCAAATGCAAGTAAAATAGTTATGCATCACAAGAGTAAAATTCATTGTTGCATACTCAATTTGCCTCTTAAAACACTTTTTTCTAGACTCAATTCCAATTCTCTATTACTCCAATTAACTGTTCTGAGGAAGAGTCTGCTTTTTTCTTAAAGCTCAAGACTAACAGAAATTCACTGTAGCTTAAAGTAGCACCTGTAGAAGATTAATGTTAGCTTCTTGATCCTTTGAAAAACTAAAATACTTTAAATGATGCAGAAAAAAATTAATCTATTTACTTACTAATTTATTCTGTAATTTGTTGAATTCACTAACTTTCCAAATCTTAAACACAAACACAAAGCCAATTCCTTACTTTAGAGAGTATGCAACATTTGTTTCCATTTACAATAATGGTCTTCCTAATTCAGCTTTTAGACCACGGAAATTAAATTACATTTCAATTTTAGCTTGAGCCTGATAGTTGCAAAACTTATTTAATTGAACTAAAATTATCATAACTACTAAGCCCGAGACTCACCTTTTCAAAAATTATTTCAGGCCATTGACTGAATCCTGTATGAATTTCTTATACTTTATTTATCTGGCTATCACAGAACAGAATTCTATTCCTATTAATTGTTTCTACTATGCTCTCTTATGTTTTGCAACATTCTTTGTTGAAACCTAAAATTATTATTTTATATTGTCATGTGCTTCTCTGTGATAACATATTGTTAAATTTTACTGTGAGAAAGGAATGAGAAGATTCTAAATTCACCAGAACTTTCAGGAAGAAAGAGTAAATTACAAATTATAAAGGAAATAAGTTACCAGAGATACAAAAACAACTTTCACAGTATGGTCTGAGTACAAAACCATCTGATTCTAAGTGTTTTCACAAAATCATCATTCTGTTAACTTTTTAAAAAGCTTCCAAGACATTTAAATAGGTACACATATTGTAATTAATGTGTAATGAACATATACACCTATACTTTAAAATGGTTTTCTGTAACAACACTTTTTTGTTATTTGACTCATTAACAATAAATTCCCTATGGACATCCTATTTCCTATGCTTACTTATTAATTTTAAGATTTTACTATTGCATACAAATAATAATGTCAGGGGACACTATTAGAACACAACACTAGGACTTCAAACTGTTTTTGATAAGGATGTAGTATTCAGAACACATGAACAACTCTTACAATTCCACAATAAACAGACAAACCAATTTTAAAGGGGGAAAATCCAAAGAAGATATATAACCAATAAGCACTTGAAACTATGCTCCATATCATTAGGTAAATGTAAATCAAAACCACAATGAAATACCACTTCACATCTATTGAACACCTATAATCAAGAAGATAGCTAGAAAACAGTGTTGACAAAGAGGTGAAGAAATTGGAAACCTCACACATTGCTTGTGGGAATGTAAAATAGTACAGCTGCTTTGGAAAACAGCCTGGCAGTTCCTCAAAATAGTAAATAGTAAAAAAAATTCTTTTAATCATATACCCAAGGCATATGAAAAGACACACAAAAACTCATACATACATATTCATAGCAACATTATTGATAATAGCCAAAAAATAGAAACAACCCAAATGTCCCAAATGTCCATCAATTGATGCATGAATAAACAAAATGTGTTTCAGCCATACAATGGAGTATTATTCAGCCATAAAAAGGAATGAAGTACTTGTACATACAAAAACCCTGAGGTTAAATAAAAGAAACCATATACAAAAGGCCACATGTTGTTTAGTTTCACTTACAAAAAATGTCCAAAATAGATAAATCTTATTTCTACAAGAGATAGATTAGTGGTTGCCAAAGGCTTTAATGAGAAATGAATGGGGTTCTTTGGGGAAAACAAAAATGTTCTGAAATTATATAGTGGTGGTTATACAATTCTATGAGTATATGAAAACCCATCGAATTACACAGTTAAAAAAATGACTTGTACACTGAAAATTACAAAGCACTTTTGAAACAAATTAAGAAGATCTGAATAAACAGAAAAATATCCTATGCTTATGGATTAGAAGAATCAATACTGTTTAACATGACAGTAATCTCCAGTTTGATATATAAATAGGTAACAAGCACATGGAAAACTGTTCAACATCACTAGACATCAGAAAAATGCATATCAAAACCACAATGAGGGGCTTCCTTAGTGGTCTGGTAGTTAAGAATCTGCCTACCAATGCAGGGGACACAGTTTGATTGCTGGTCTGGGAAGATCCCACATGCCACAAGGCAACTAAGCCCATGTGCCACAACTACTGAAGCCTGAGTACCCTAGAACCCATCCTCTGCAACAGGAGAAGCCACTGCGGTAAGAAGCCCGGGCACTGCAACTAGAGAGCAGTCCCTGTGCAGGGCAGCTAGGAAAGCCTGTGTGCAGCCAACAAGGACCTAGTACAGCCAAAAATAAATCATTTTTTTTAAAGAAAGAGATTACTTTAAAAAAAGAAAAAAGCACAGTTGCTTTAGAAAACAATCCTGGCAGTTCTTCAAATGCAAGCATAGAGCTACCATAAGACCCACCAATTCCACTCAAACAAGTTTTATATTTTTGATGCTGTTTGTATCTAGACTCCATCAATTCTCAAACACACAACATTTCTAGGACTAGGGGCGGGATAGAAAAGAGTACAGGAGCTGATGGACTATTTGTCATCTCAAGAGTCAGATGCTTTTTCAGAGTTAAAGCATATATAGTCAAATAATGCCCGTTACACACACCGAGGGTTTAGCTGGTAAGGGTGTCTTTTCTTTCTAAGTGATGAAATTTAATAACACTCAGTCCCAGCCCCCAATCACAAAAGACTATGTCTTCTTCTGGTTAAGTTCTGTGGATATAAATCAGTAACATCCAAGAAAACTGAAAATAGATGCCCACATAAAACTTGTACATGATAATGTTCAAAGTAGCATAATTTAAAAAACATTAAAAATGAGAACAATCTAAATTCAATCAACTGATGTATGGATGAGTAAAAGGTGATAACTCATATAATGAAATATTATTCAGCTATAAAAATGAAGTACTAATATATACTACAACATTTATGAATCTTTGAGAACATGCTAAGCAAAAGAGGCCAGACACAGAAGGTCTTGACATTATATGAAATGTCAAGAATAGGCAAATCCTTAGGGACAAAAAGTAATTAGTGGTTGCCAGGAGCTAGAGAGAAAGGAAATAGGAATGACTGCTAATGGGCATGCGGTTTCTTTCTGAAGTGGTAAAATTGTTCTAGAATTACACTTGCGATGGTTGTACATCTGAATAGTATACTAGAGTCACTTATTATACTACTGTACACTTTTAAAAGGGTGAATTATATTGCAACTTAAAAAACACATGTTTTTAAAATTAGTTACATGGTGGCTTTAATTACCTAAAAAATAGTATGTGACATTTCTTTTCTATAATCTACTAAAAACATACTCTCCTTTATACAAAAGCATATTCCAGAATAACTAATGTGCTAGAATAAGAATACTAAGAGGAAACCATTAATGCAATTAAAACCAATCTCATAGTAAATTATTAAAAGTTATTTTTAAGACTTTCTTTCACTAGTCTTACCTATTTTCAAATCATCAGCTAGACTTTCTTTTGTAAGATTCAGTAATTCTCTTCCATCAATGTTATTCATTTTGAAAATATCAACGAGGTCTTCTAAACCTTCGGCACAAAGCCAGTTTGAGACATCATCCTCTGACCAATTTTCAGTAAACTGCTTTGGGTGATCTTGGATCTTTGCTTAAAAAACAAATAAAAGAACACTCAAACAAAAAGGTAAGTGAAATAATAAGCAAAAGTATATCCTTTATCAAGATTCTCTTGTGTGTGTGCTACATGGCTTCAGTCATGTCTAACTCTTCGCAACCCTGTGGACTGTAGTCCTCTAGGCTCCTCTGTCCAAGGGACTCTCTGGGCAAGAATACTAGAGTGGGTTGCCATGTCCTCCTCCAGGGGAACTTCCAGACCCAAGAACTGAACCCACATCTCTCTAAGTCTCCTGCATTGGCAGGTGGGTTCTTTACCCCAGCACCACCTGGGAAGCCCAATATAAAGATTCTCACTTTGTACTAAAAAGTAAACAAAATGTTCTTAAATCTGTGTTTTCTACTTTAACATCTTTTAAAAAATTTTTTTAAATCAAATACTACATATAATTAAAGCATTATTTAATTAAATGCTACTCTTTTGGAGCTTTTTCACTCCAGAAAAAGTTTAACATTATATAAAACTGGCATCAGCAGAAGTATTGTATTTGATCTGTCATCTGCATATCAGCACCACTAGTTAGCTAATTTTGACAGTGATAAAAATAAAACTTCTAAATTGTGTCAGTGCTGCTTAATGAAACAAAATGAAACCACTAGGACAAAACAATGATTTCTACTTTGTCCTAGGCTATATTTTTTAATATCTGAAAAGTCAGTACAGAGTATAAATAAAGAGCTTACAAAACTATGGGAGGTATGATGTAACTGAGCATTCACCCAAAAGCATTTACCAACAGTTTTAACATAGACGACTGGGTTAACTTTAACACTGGGTTCTCTAAAATTACTTTTAAATTATATTAACTTGGATGTATGCTTTATATTGAAAAAAGCAACATGTATAATTTGTCAAAAAACCACTGAATTTCTGATTTTAATGGTGAATGGTGGTGGTATTGTTAAACATGATATCCTTACTAACCTTGGCAAAGTGTTTCCGTATCAAATTGCCAGATGTTCACTGTTTTGTCCATTGAACCAGTAGCAAGTAAAAGGATATTGGGTGCAAAGGCACAAGTTGTGACATACCTAGTTAATAAAAACAACTATTATATATCCTTAGACCAATTTTTAAATTACATTAATACAAAGCAAGGTTAAAAGTTCAGACCTGGTGTGCTGAGTCAGGGTGTGAAGTATATTCTCAGTGTTCTGAAAAAATAACAGAACAAACAGCTTTATATTTACTCAGGCAAGAGTAAAGTTACTAACAAAGACTTGCTTGACCTGAATGGCTTATATACTCTATGTATTCCAATATTATTGAGTCATTAATATAAGCTGAAACTTATCCAATGAATAGAGAATAGCATTTATAATAATATCATCAAGTACTTATTTTATTCTTTCTCAATTATTACTACTGCTGTCTGCTAAAAATTTTAGATTAATATAGTCCTGGCTGATTTGTCTTAACAGTAACCATGAAATAATTTGTTTTTTGTTATGGCATTTGACCTGTACCCACTGCAGACCAGTGAGTAGAAATTAATCACTTCAATTCTGAGTGCACTTGGCTGGCCAGCCAGCATCTAGATGTATTTAACTGAGACTCATACATATTTTATGGAGGAAATTTAATGTTTTAGCTGTTTCTGTGAAACTTTTCATGAAAACTTTCTGAGAAATAGTAAGGATCTGCTTCACCTCAATTGAGTACTCTTCCCCATTTCCTGCCAGAACTCTCAGTGATTGGAACTTCCAAGAGCAGAACTAGCTTATTAGCTTCCTTACTTGCCACACACTCCTTTGATGATTCACATCTCTATTTCATTTGCTGGCATAGTTACAACCTAAATTCGACCACTGTAAGGGTCCACTCAACACTGATTTCTCTCAGAGAATATTTTCACAGTATATTAAACATTCATTTTCTTCCATCCGGTATTTAGTCACATGCATCTACCAAAGAGTCCCATTTCTTCAAATCCATTATAACCTACTCTTCCTTATACTAGTCTCTAAACTCAGCTGCAACTCTAAAGCAGTGGGTCACTTTTGGCTTTCAGCTGGGCGCTACCAAAACCCTCCAATATGTAGTAACGAACTATTAGAAATGATACCTAAAAGTATAGTCTTACCCTCCAGTAAATAATCCTTTGTTGTTATGAAAACCTGGTGTAAGAGTTTAAGAATAATTGATTTAAAGTGATGTTTTGGATACTGGTGCTCTTTAAATTGGTATTTTCTTTTATCAGATTAAATATCTGTCTATCTTAAAACCATTGTTGAAATATTTCAGGGCTTGACCCAGAACCAATACCTTACTTACATAACTATTTAAGTATGTACATATTATCTTTTTAGGCACCCTAAACAAAAAAATATATACACACATTTTCCTTATCCTGCCTAACTCAACTTGAAATTCAGCAGCCTAACAAGCAAGCACAATTTACAAAGATCACACAAGATGTGAAGTACTTACAGTATCATACACTATAACTGACTTATCCACTGATCTTTAAGAGAAGAAAAAAGGATAATGGGTGAAAAGTGCTACAAAAATGAAGTACAGTATTTGTATATTTAAATCATTTTAATAACTTTTTAAGAAAAGGCTGAAATTTTGATATGCACACATTCAGAATGGAGTCTGTTTTTCATTGTATAAACTTATTTTAAAAAACTATATACCACATACCAAATTTATCAGAAAATTATAAACTTTATTAAGCATCAGCACATGTTATTTATACTATGCAGCCCTAAACAGAGTAAGCATTTATAATGAATAAATAAGACACAATTTCATATGATGTTAATAACTCAAAGGGAAAAACCACTACAAGGGAAACCTATCAGTTGCTACTTGATTTTTATTCTGGATAGCATTGTTCTTTATTATTAATATGGCTATGCCTTAATTACTAGTCAATATGTATGTGACTCATTTTTTAAAACTGTAATTCTAAGCTTTATTTAGACCCTACATGATTTCTTTCAATACTATAAAAATTAAAACATCTATCTGGGATTAATTCTAGTGGTGAAAAAAATTATCATACAAAGAAAAATGCAACAGCCTAACAAATTACATAATCAAAACCAACAGACAAACGTGTTTGTACGTGATATTTTCCCCCCTTTGGATACAGTTGTTATGCCACCATATGTAGAAAGTGAGAAAATATAACAAGTGAAAAAAATAAATAAATAAAATAAAATAAAATAAAAAAGAAAATATAACAAGTGTTACCGCTCTGTACAATTTTAACAGCACTTTTATTATTAAAAGTAGCTGATTATAGTCTGACCACAGGAGTCACACCTATTATAAGGCTTAAAATTTCTTTGAAAATTCCTTATTTAGTAGTCTCTACAGCATTGGTAATGGATTTTGACAATAGAATCTTTGTCATAAGTTCAAAATAGAAATTAGACTTTGTTCAAACATAAAATGAAACACAAGTGAGAAAGCATACAGATGCATTCTGGATGGTAAAAAACAGAATTAGAGCATTAAATGCTAAATCAAAAAACAGCCAAAAAACACTGAAAATATTAGCAGCTAATATACATAGCCAGACATGAGTTATAGACACTCTTGTGCACGTGTGAGCTAAGAAACTTTAGTTGCATCCAACTCTTTGAGACTCTATGGACCATAGCCTACCAGTCTCCTCTGCCCATGGGCTTCTCCAGCAAGAATACTGTAGTGGGTTGCCATTTTCTTCTCCACGGGATCTTCCTGAGCCAGGGATCAAACCTGTGTCTCTGACATTTCCTGCACTGGTAGGCAGGTTCTTTACCACTAGCACCACCTGGGAAGCCCCATAGACACACTTTATTTAGTCCTAAATTCTTCACAGTATAAGGTATTATCACTGGAATATCTGAAATTCTTAGGGAAAACTTTCTTACTTCTTACCATCCTTAAACAGATAGGAAATTCTATTTTCTGAGATTACCACTAGTGCAATTAAAACTAACTTATCCCAATGATGTATATCACTTGAGAAGCTAGATCATCAGTAAATGATTCTGTAGGCAACAGATAGACAAGACACCATAAAAATGAAACAGGTCCACTTGCTGATGAGGTATAAAAATGAACCTGAGAAGCAAAAGGCCAAGCATGAAGAACTCTTTGAGTCTACAGAATCTGAACAAGGAGAACAGAGATTATGGGCAGAGACCTGCAGACCCCTAAGAGACTAAAAGGATTTTAAACTCACCTCCTATTCAAAAGAGGTGTAATGAAATTTGATAACTGATTAGATTTGGAGGGAAGGAAATTACTATTAGGGAAAAATAAATAGTTTTCAGTTTTTGAGATCTGGGTTTCAAAGACAAAGAAAATAATTATAACCACTATAAACAGACATAAAATACTTTGAAATTACTAAATATAAAACCTCAAAGTATTCCCTGAATAGAACCTGCACCAATATAAAATAAATGCTCTGAATATTTGGTGCCCCATTTTATACATATCCTGCCTGCTATATTTAACCCTTCCCCTTTGCTACATAAAACTCTTTCAGTGATTCCACCACAATCTGCCCTGTCACCTTGACCCCACTTTCTCCCTTACAGAGGGTGCATTAGTTGCCAAGTCTCATTACTCCTTTCCCACCACTTTATGGCACTCTAAAACTTCAACTCTGCTCACAGAAGAGTACTGCTGCTGCTGCTAAGTCGCTTCAGTTGTGTCCGACTCTATATGATCCCATAGATGGCAGCCCACCAGGCTCCCCAGTCCCTGGGATTCTCCAGGCAAGAACACCAGAGTGGGTTGCCATTTCCTTCTCCAATGCAGGAAAGTGAAGTTGCTCAGTCGTGTCCGACTCTCAGCGACCCCATGGACTGCAGCCCACCAGGCCCCTCCATCCATGGGATTTTCCAGGCAAGAGTACTGGAGTGGGGACAGAAGAGTTCAAGAGAAACTAAAGAACAAACAAACAGATATGAATCACTAAAAGGAATCAACAGTAGAATAACTGAGACAGAAGAAAGGACAAATAATCTAGAGGACATAATGGTGGAAATCACTGTCACAGAATATAGAAAAAAGAATGAAAAGAAATGAAGACAGCCTAAGAGACCTCTGGGACAACACTAAATGCACCAACATTCGCATTATAGGGGTCCAGGAGTAGAAGAGAGAAAGAAAGGACATGAGGAATTATTTGAAGAGGTAATAGCTGGAAACTTCTGAACATGGGAAAGGAAGTAGTCAACCAAGTCCAGGGAGGACAGAGTCCCAGGAAGGATAAACCCAAGGAGGAACACACCGAGATACATAGTAATAAAAGTGACAAAAATTAAAGACAGAAAATATTAAAAGCAACAAGGGAAAAAATGACAACATACAAGGGAACTCCCATTAAGCTATCAGCTGATTTCTCAACAGAAACTCTACAAACCAGAAGGGAATGGCATGATATATTTAAAGAGATGAAAGGGAAGAACCTACAACCAAGAATACTCTACCCAGCAAGACTCTCCTTCAGCTTTGATGGAGAAATCAAAAGCTTTCCAAACAAGCAAAGTTAAGAGAATTCATGACCACAAATCAGCTTTACAACAAATGATAAAGGACCCTTTCTAGACAGGAGACAAGAGAAGGAAAAGACCTACAGAAAGTAAACCCAAAACAATTAAGAAAATGGTAACAGGATCATACATATCAATAATTATCTAACAAGTAAATGGATTAAATGAACCAAAAGACACAGACTGGCTGGGTGGATGAAAACATGTGCATATATGTACACTTACCACTTACCCCCTGAATTGTGTGTAATTATTTTATATAGTTAGGTTAATCATGTTCCCATTATGGCTTGCAACTGTACTTTTAACTTTTATCTGGCTATTGATTTGTGAAAACTGACAAACATCTTTTACTGTTGTGATTATGTAACTATTTACTCACTTAATACCATTGTATCATGATTGGCCAACAGAAAAATAATAGACCTCTATCTCACCTAAGTTGGATCTAATAGAAAAACCTGTAATCACTTTTTAAAATCTAGACACATATTAGAATTACCTTGAAATTTTTTTAAAAATACAAATGCTCAGGTATTGCTTTTCTCCAAAGCTTCAGATGATACTAATGAGCAGTCATGTTTAAAAACAACTGGACTATATGATAATCTTTTACTTTTATCTAGTTTGTTTCAATTTTTCTATTTCACATTCAGTGCTCTCATTTCATTTAGTTTATGTTCTCAATTTCTCCATCTCTTTTTTCATGTTCTTTCTCCAGCCTTCATCAAGTATAGTAGAAAAGCTTTTGTATACATATAAATATGTATAATATAAATATTTTAGAAAACTTATGAATTTTTGCCTAACTAAAAATATTATGACATTTTGATTCCACTTGTCTGACTTAGTGTGAATAGAATGGCAGATTTCTAATTAAAAATAGATATGCAAAAAAAATAGATATGCAACAAAAATTTACTGTATAGTATAGGGAACTAGAGTCAATATCTTGTAGTAACCTATGATGGAAAATAATTTCAAAAATAATATATGTGTTTTGTATAACTGAATCACCTTTCTGTGAACCTGAAACATTGTAAGTCAACTATACTTCAATAAAATATATTTTAAAAAAAGATTAGTATTCAAAATACATGTCACAACATAGAGTCCACTTTGCTATTAAAGGGCTACAAATCTGTTCCTGAGCTTCTTCAATAGCAATTCAAAAAAGGAAACACCATCTGTTATACAGTTTAAGATAGAAACACAAACCCAATGCTCGAGAAAGGGACATCAGTTGTTTAGACTGACAACTATAGGAATTATTTCCCCCAAGGTCTTTACAGAGATGATTCCATGAAACATAATCCCCAAAACTCATCCTGAATCAACATGGTAAGTTTCAAACAGTCGTTTCATAATGCCCCTCAATATAGATCAACAGCTAAAGCTTAACCCAGAAAAAGCGGAAGTCAGAAAATCAGGGGGTAAACTAATGTTATATGTTATACACATGCCCAATGCTCTGGATTACAAAAAATAATATGCAAAAATAATTGGGAAAAGAGTACATCAAGGATGTTCATTGTCACCCTGTTTATTTAACTTATATGCAGAATGCATCATGCAAAATGCCAGCCTGGATGAATCACATGCTGGAATCAAGATTGCAGGGAGAAATATCAACGACCTCAGATATGCAAATGATACCACTCTAATGGCAAAAAGCAAAGAGAAACTTAAACAGCCTCTTGATGAAAGTGAAAGAGTGAAAAAGTTGGCTTAAAACTCAACATTCAAAAAACTAAGGTCATGGCATCCAGTCCCATCATTCCACGGCAAATAGATGGGGAAACAAATGCAAACAGTGACAGATTTTATTTTCTTGGGCTCCAAAGTCACTAGTGCAAATGGTGACTTCAGCCATGAAATTAAAAGATGCTTGCTCTTTGGAAGAAAATTTATGACAAACTAGACAGCATATTAAAAAAAACATAGACATCATTTTGCCAACAAA